CCCCAAAACCCCAAAACCCCAAAACCCCGTCTTAAAAATTTAACTAAAATTGAGTTTGATCTTAGTTATTATTATAATTTATTTCTGATGAAAAACTTAGTTACATCATTTGGAGCAACAGACAACAGGAAGAGTAAAGCTAAGATAGATTAATCTGAGAGAAAGTCCAAGAGAGTTAAAGATAGTCTTGTGTCTACTAAGTCCAAAGGAGTAAGGAAGAATCACACTGACTAGAATACACCTTTTCAAAGTAAACAAAAGCAGAGGAGAGTTACAAAGAAGAAACCTGAGATAGATTAAGCAGCTCATCCTATTTATCACGATGGCTAGGAATATTAAAGCCAAAAAATAGATAAGGAGCTATAAGATAGAGTTTACTATGCATAAATAGCAAATTCTCAAAGGAATTACACAATACCTCCAAGTTAAACTCAAGAAAACAAGAGGACTGATGACAGTTTGGAATTGCCTGTAACATTCTCTTCTCACTAATCTGTTTTAGGATAGCAACAATAGAGAATAGAACAAAAGTGTGCTTTTAGTTACCACACAGTAATAAATGAAGTAAGAAGAAAATAAATTTGACAAGAATCCTCTGGAAAGACAAGATAAGCATTCAATGAGAGAATCTAGAACTCCAACAATAGTTGGAAATTTCACTCACACCAATAAGCAAATAGTGCTCTCTCATAGGCAACCGACATCTTAAAACTTGAGTTATGAAGAGTTCACTTAAGTTGGGATGAGTTTGAGCTAAGATTTCAATAGAATATCGATATCCTAAAATCAATTGAATCTCAATTAATAGAGATTCAACTCTAGTATTGCATACCCTAATGACATCAGGAGTATTGAATGTCATTGAAAGAATAGATCTCCTTACCCCAACAAGGATGAGAGAGTTTTAAAAGACAATCAAATTCCCATTAGCAAGTAGATTGAAAAATCAGCTAAGAACAGCACAGATACTAACAGTTTTGAGAACTCAATTGATAAGGAGTTTCATTTATCTCAAACTTCTTAATCATGTGGTAGCAATGTTGTAATACCATAAATCTGTCCATTTGTGCTTGACTCAGTAAATTAAATCAACTTAGGGAAAAATAATCCGCTGATTATGAAAGAAATTCAGAGTATAAGAGTTAATTGCATGTCTAGTCTAAGAAATCTAAGCAAGTAATACACAGAGATTTAGGCAACTATGAATAAAGCTGATTCATTCATTCAGATGATTTTAGACGACGATACACTAAGAGAACTATCAGACAAAAATGTAGATTTTATTAAGAGAAAAGAGCTAGCATTCAAGGAAATCCACAATCAAGTTACTAGAGGGCTTACTTAAACACTTTAAGAGTACTAAAAGGAGAGTAATAAGATGATTGGAAGAACCCAATAATCACTTGCTAAGGTATTTTAGTGTCGCCTTGACATTTTTAAGAAGAAAATAGCATTCAAAGAAATAGAGTATTTGGAATCATTTGAAGAATTATCTCAGCACTTGGACAAATTGGAAGAAATGAATATTATGAATAAAAGGTTGAGATAAATAGTCCAAAACCAAATGAATGAGTTTTTAAATGAAAATAATAGCACAATGCTTTTGCTAGAAGTATACTCAAATGAATTATTCAAGCTGAAAGTTGAAATATCATATAATAATTCTGCTAAGATTAAAGCTAAGCTTTTGATTTAGTGAGCTATATGATTTATTAGATAAGTTTGTATTTTTATTATAAGTTGATTA